CGGAGGAGTTCTCGCCTACATCGTCCATATAGGACGACTCGGGAACTCAACTCCTACCCCGGGCAGCTCACCTATCCCCTTATGCCCAGGGGAAAGGTATCAAGCCGTTTGACAGCAGATGCTAGCTGTCAAACCGGCTTTTACGCAAAACAGGCGGGAGGCAGCAAACAGCTGCGACCGACGAAATCGCCTGCCACCACTGTTATAGGTTGCTTCTCTCCTTGATTAGTTTCCATCCGTTGCTTCTTGTCCTGTCTTCAGGTGTTTTGGAGAATAGCTTGACTCCCTCTTCTTTGTGGCAGCTCCTGAGATATTGGAACAGGAGATTTCAATCCTGTGCCTCTAAAAGCCACTTAGCAAAGTACAGGTAGGCCCTGAACTTCATTTTGCAACCTTTCAAAGTTTCAGCAGCACTGGAAAAATAAGGATTTACAACCAGTCCTCGTTCGTAGCAATTGTCACAGCATGCCTGTGGTCACGTGATCAAAATGTGGGCGCTTGGCAACCGGAATGCATTTACAATGGTTGCGGTGCCCCAGTCTCTTAGGATCACCCTTTGCAATGTTCCCAGCCAGCTTCCAACGAGCAAAATCAAGGGGGGATTTTCACTTAATGACCATGTGATTCACCGCAACTGCAGGGATTTGCTTAACAGCTATGGGAATAAAGCTTGTAAAATCAAGGGCAACTTATTGAACAAACACCTTGCTTAATAATGGAAATTCTGTTCCCACTTGTGGCCGTAAAGTGAGGACTGCCTATGCTAGGAAAATCTCTTGCTTTCGTGGTCTGTGTAGTTTTTGTCCCTGAAGTTTCTGATTAGTCACAGAAGAAGGTGGGATGTTGAATTTGATGGACTTTTGGTCAGAATTCTTTAACATGACATTGGGTGGTTTCCAACAATTAAAATCAAGTTGCTTTCATCCATCCCAGCAATCCAATTTATTTTTATTGATTTATTTCTATCCCGCCTTTATTATTTTTATAAATAACTCCAGGTGGCAAACATACCTAATACTCTTTCCTTCTCCTATTTTCCTAACAACAACCCTGTGAGGTGGGTTGGGCTGAGACTGGTCCAAAGTTACCCATCTGGCTTTCAACGATGAATTTCAGGGTCCAATTTATTTTTATTCAGACATTATATTCAGGAGATGGTTGTAAACATGCCAGTGATCAAAATGAAAATATCGGTGTCAAAATTTAGCCTCACATACCCCACCCGCTCTGTGGTGTTTTCATAGGATTCTTCATTTAGTGATTATTTTCCAGGCAGTAATCCTGCAGAAACCACAGCCAGCTTAATCAGTGCAATGGAATCTGATCTAACATGGCATTTTTCTTTGTTTCTTCTCTCTTCCCCTCCTAGATACGATATTTGCATTTACAAAAACAAACCCTGTGGAACTTTAGGTAGGTAAAAAAATGTGCCATCAAATGTTCATCATTATAGCCTATACTAATTTTTATGCTGATTTTTTTTTTGAAGTGGAAAAAATGTACTTGGGCTGGGATTGTACCACCCAGTAACTAGGCCAAAATGGGATTTGCAGTAGTGTCTATAACAGGGGTCTCCAAACTTGATAGCTTTAAGACTTGTGGACGTAACTCCCAGAATTCCTTAGTGAGCCATGCTAAGGAAGTTGACGTTCACAACTCTTAAAGTTGCCAGCTTTGGAGACTCTTGGTCTATAACAAATGCTGCAGTCAACGTGACAACATATGCCTCATGATGTCATTATGAAAACTCAGCATGATCCTTATATGCAGGATATGTCATCCTGCATATAAATTGCATCATTTTCATCTTTTGTCTCTGCCCAATCCCCTAGACATAGGTAGAGCATGATCCAGTGTGTCATTAGAATCCTCAACCATTTTGTAATGTGTTGACTGATGCAAAATATTGTGTTAAGCTATTAGGTAGCGCTTGAGTTATGATCAGAGGCTTAGTGACTGTTTGAGGTTACAAGGGACCCCCCCCCCCCAAAAAAAGGTACTTACAACTGGTTCTAAAGTTCAGATGGCTAGAACTGCCCTGCGGTCATGTGACTGCATTTCAGGCACTCATTTATCCCACATTTACAGCTGTTTGCAGCATCCCACAGTCATGTGGGACTATCCCACATGACTGTGGGATAGACAGCATCCCACAGTCAGGTGCTGACTATCATCTTTAAGGCGCTCCATGGCAGCGGACCGGGATACCTTCGAGACCGCCTTCTGCCACAGATTACCTCCCATCGGCCTGTACGCTCCCACAGGGTGGGTCTCCTCAGGGTGCCGTCGGCCAGACAGTGCCGGCTGGCGACCCCAAGGGGGAGGGCCTTCTCTGTGGGAGCTCCCACCCTCTGGAANTAAGACATGGCTATTCCAACAAGCGGGACTGGCCTAGGGCAATTTTTAGAGGGGTTTTAATCATATTTTAATTAGACAACATTTAAATATTTCCTTTTAACTAATTTTAATTTTGTAATTGTTATTGGTGTATTTTTAATTGATTGTCAGCCGCCCTGAGTCCGCAAGGAGAAGGGCGGGATATAAATTCAATAAATAAATAAATAAAAATAAATAAATGTGACCATGATTAATGAAATTTTGGGCCCAAACTGGGATTTACTTCCATGGGACAATGGGTTTACTTAATGACTGCTATGTTTGATTAACGACCGCAGCAATCACTTTACCAGCTCCATTCTGGTCGTAAGTCAAGGACTACCTGAAGGTGTATTTGTTAGTTAGGGCATAGCCCATTATATGGGTAAGGCAGTGATATTTTGCTTATCTGATTTAAGGTTTAGCATCTTGGGGTGAATGCAACCAATTAGTCAGTAACCTAGCCTTCTTCTTACTGATATTTTTAATTCTAGTTTCTTTTCTGGATACAATTGGCCTGGGAGTAGGTTTACTATTCCCAGGCCAACTGGGAATAGTATCGGCTAAGAAGGAGAATTATGCAGGGCTGCATTGGCTAAGGCTTCTGGGAGTTGTAGTTAAGTACAGTTGTCGAGCTACAGTCATCCTCGCACATTGCTTGCAAAGAATGGCTGAATGAAAACATTCAGTCTCTCAAAAAGTTTCAAATAGTGAAGTGGGATTGCCCATTGTGGCAATTTGAGGTAGATGAAATCTGTAACAGACTCTCAGATAGGGGGACTGGAGGGCAGCCATATAATGGCCTTCATATAATTAATAATACGGAAAATGTGTTGTTGTTTTTAAGGTGATGCCTATTAATTTGATTTTCACAAAGGGGTGGGAATTATGGCCCCTTTACGATCTATGAACTTCAATTCCCAGAATTCCCGAGCCAGCCATGCTGGCTCAGGAATTCTGGGAGTTGAAGTCCACAGGTCCTAAAGAGGGCCATAGTTGCCCACTCCTGCTCTAACAGATGAGCTAATTAATGAACATTTTGAAATCATAAACATCACTAAAAATTGAATTGGGAAGGGGGCTAGAGCCACACAGAGGGTAGACTTCGCTTCTGCTCCCCGCAGTAACGTTTTTCCCTTTCCCAGGATTGGCCCCCGTGGGTGGCATGTGTGAACGCGAAAGGAGCTGCAGCATCAATGAAGACCTTGGCTTGGCCACAGCTTTCACCATTGCTCACGAGATAGGCCACACGTGAGTCTCCTGCCATTGTTGCGCTTGTGCAACATGCAAGCAACTTTCACGCTACTCACGCACCCATTTTGGGTTCCCATCTTCCTTGAACGGGGAAGGCCCTTCCAGAACTAAAAAAAAAAAAAAAATCATAATATTTCTCCCCTTTTCCAGGTTTGGCATGAACCATGATGGTGTTGGAAATAGCTGTGGATCCCGGGGACGGGAGACAGCTAAACTCATGGCAGCTCATATTACCATGAAGACCAACCCCTTTGTCTGGTCAGCATGCAGTAGAGATTATATAACCAGCTTCCTGGAGTAAGATTTGACTCACTTCATTATCGAATGTTCCTCATCCCCCCAAAATAGGATTCTTTTCTCCCAAATCCTTGCTACCGAAAGTAAGACCTACCCAGTGGTGGGATTCAGCTGGTTCGCACCACTTCAGCAGAACCGGTAGCTAATTTTTTGTTGCCCAGGCCCAGAATGGACTTCCGGAAGCGGCATTCACACAGAGAACCGGTTGTTCACATATTTGAATCCCACCGCTGGACCTACCCCGAAAATAAGCCCTGGTTTTGGGGTGAGGCGCACGCCTAAAAATCAAGCTAGGACAGGAATGGGGGGGGGTCAAGCTGCCCCAGGCACCCGCACCCACTTACCGTTGCAGCCAGGCCTCCCATGAATCGACACCTACCTCACCTCGCTGGCCCACTTCTTCTGTGGCACCCCCCAGCCTGCATTTCGCTGTCAGAGGCCTTCCGGAGCTCAGTTCTCGGCTACAGAGGCCTTTCCGGAAGGCCGCAGAAGAAGTGGGCCGGCTGGGCAGGGCTGTCGATGCCGCTGCCATGAGGAGGGACTGTGGAAAAGACACACCAGAGTCTTTGTTTTCCTAAATTAAAGTAAATGAATGAAAAGGTATCATGTATCCAATATGGTTTTTTTTTATTAATGATTGATGTTTTGGTAATAATATGTAATGTGCTTTGTATAGCTTTGTAATTCAAATATGTATGGGTAGCACAGCAATAGATAGACATCTTCTGAAACAATTTTAACACTAGAACACGGGACATAGAATGTTACAAACTTTATTATACCAATCATTATACCCATTTCTGTTCTGACTCTGGATGATGAACGTAAGGTTAAAATCAACGAACAACAAAAACAAATCTCCATCGTTATCACAATACAGGATAGCATGCAAGGACAATCTGACACAATCCACACAACCGCAATCACCCTGAAAAAAAGACCTAGTGCCTCTTTTAGAAGCAAATAAAATAAAATAAGACCGGGTCTGATTTACAGCGAAACACAGTATTAATAACTTGTGCTCCTTCACTCTACCTCTAGCTCTGGAATGGGACTCTGCCTGAATAATGCGCCACCCAAGCAGGACTTCATCTACCCCACTGTGGCTCCAGGACAAGCCTACGATGCAGACGAGCAGTGCCGGCTTCAGTACGGAACAAAATCTCGCCAGTGTAAATATGGGGTAGAGAAGCCTTCCTGCTTTTCCTCTTGATTCCCAAGGGGTTGGAAGGAAGGAATTTTAGTGAGGCAAGAACATTGGAGGTAGTCCTCGACTTACGACCAGTTGCTTAGTAACCATCAAAGTAGGAATGGACCCTCATAAAGCTATTTACGACCCAGATTCAAAGTTCTGATATCCAGCCCCAGCCCCTCTGGTCACGTGACCCCATTTTGGATGCTTGGCAATATTTATAATAATATATAATATAATAATAATAATAATAATAATAATAATAATAATAATAATAATAATAATAATAATAATAATAATAATAATAAAGTTGGAAGAGACCTTGGAGGTCATCTAGTCCAACCCCCTGCTCAGGCAGGAAACCCTATACCATTTCGGACAAATGGCTGTCCAGTCTCTTCTTAAAAACTTCCAGTGTTGTTCTGGAGGCAGGTTCTGGAGGCAGGTTGTTCCACTGATTAATTGTTCTAACTGTCAGGAAGTTTCTCCTTAGTTCTAGGTTGCTTCTCTCCTTGATTAGTTTCCACCCGTTGCTTCTTGTCCTGCCTTCAGGTGCTTTGGAGAATAGCTTGACTCCCTCTTCTTTGTGGCAGCCCTTGAGATATTGGAACACGGCTATCATGTCCCCCCTCGTCCTTCTCTTCGTTAAATTAGACCTACCCAATTCCAGCAACCGTTCCTTATATGTTTTAGCCTCCAGTCCCCTAATCATCTTTGTTGCTCTTCTCTGTACTCTTTCTAGAGTCTGAACATCTTTTTTACATTGTGGTGACCAAAACTGGATGGGTTTGTTTACAGCGTCCTGTGGTCACGTGACCAGAATTTATGAGGTTTTTGCTGGAAACCAGTGCTTCCTTCTGGTTTTCAGCAAAAAAATTGCCCATAATGAACAATGGGTTCGCTTAACAACCACGGCGTTCACTTAACAAACATTGTGTTTACTCAACAAGCACCACAACAAAGGTTTTAAAATCGGCCGCCATCACCCACTTTACAACTATCATGATTTATGACTGAAATTGCAGGCTCAATTATGGTCATATGTCGAGGACTACGTGTGGTCTTTGTAAGATAAGCTTTCTGTGCATCAACCCCAACTGTTGGCAGCATCTTTTCGTGCTGTTATTAGTCATGTCTAACTTTTTCCTGTATTGAGGTGCCCCTGTGTTTGGTTATTTCTGATCAGTCGTAGTCATGTGCTTTTATACCTATCCAATTGACAGCTTGTAAGGAATCACAGAAGATGATGCATTTCTTGAAGCCAAAACTTCATATTTCTTTTACTGGTTTCAGTGTCCCCAATAAAGAACAAATCTGATTTTATTTATTTATTTATTTTGTACAGTATCTGTAGCAGAAAGAAAATACAGAGAGATTCAGTTACATAAGCTGTAGGATCACAGAATCTATTCTGCTCCGTTCCCCTGCCCAGGACAGGAATTGTTAGAGCAAGGGTGTCAAACTCGCCGCATCATGTGACGTATCGCAATGTATCGTGACTTTTTCCCCCTTGCCAGAATTGGGGTGGGCGCAGCTTCTGTGTGACACATCTGGCCCCCAGGCTGGCAGTTTGACACCCCTGCTTTAGAGCAGGGGTCCTCAACCTTGGCAACTTTAAGACTTCTGGATTTCAATTCCCAGAATTCCTCAGTCAGCTCTGCTGGCTGAGGAATTCTGGGAGTTGAAGTCCACAAGTCTTAAAGTTGCCACGGTTGAGGACCCTGCTATAGAGCATCCCAGACAGAGGGCTACCCAACCTTTGCTTGAAAACCTCTAGTAATGGAGCCATTACTACTATTTCAGAAGGCAGGCTGCTCCACTTCTTAGTAGCTCTCATAGTCAAGAAAGGTCTCCTTGTTTCAAGTTTGGCTCTCCAACTATAAAGCTTCCATCTGTTGATTCTCATCTTACTTCAGTACAGGTAGTCCTCGACTTACAACCATTGAGTCATTTAGTGACCGTTCAGAGTTACAAAGGCATTGAAAAAAATGACCATTTTCAAATGACCATTGCAGCATCCCCATAGTCACATGATCAAAATTTAGATGCATGGAAACTGGTTCATATTTATGAAGGTTGCAGTGTCCCGAGGTCATGTGATCATCATTTGCAAACTTCAAAGCCGGTTTCTGATGGGCACACTCAATGGGGGAAGCTAGATTCACTTAATGACTTCATGATTTACTTAACTGCAGTGATTCTCTTAACAACCATAGCAAAAACTGTAGTAAAATTGGGTATGACAACTGCATTGAACTGCAAAGGAAATTCTGGTCCCAGTTGCGGTTGTAAGTCGAAGATTACCTGTATTGCATACTATTTCTTCTTTTGGACCTAGTTTATATATATATATATAAAATTATATTCATGTTGGCAGAGTAATTGTGTTGAATGAAGGTAGTCACATATGAGAAAATGAAAATATCTTATATTGCAGTCAAACCCCCCATTTTTTAATTTATTCCTTATAACCCCTATACCAGGGGTAGGCAACCTTGGCTCTTTTATGACTCGTGGACTTCAACTCCCAGAATTCTGGGAGTTGAAGTCCACGATTCATAAAAGAGCCAAGATTGCCTACCCCTGCTCTACACTCTAATACAAATTTGTTTTTAGGGATAAGTTCATGTTTATTTATGGCAGTTTGGAAGACCATTTTGCTGCTTATTTCAGATGACTGAAAGACTGTATTAGTACTCCCATTCTTAATACAGATTTACAAATAGCTAGGGAAGCAATTACGGTATCTTGAGTTTATTTTGATGCAAATTTATGCAGTTTGTTGTTTCTGAAGAAGGCACAGACTGAAAACTCTACTTTTCCAAATTTTGTGAATTCAAGAATTGCATTCTAATATGTCTTTATAAGGAAAAGATGCAGATTATAAAAGACAGTGGATTAGAAAAATTAATGTAGAAATATGCAGAAGTTGCCTATAAAATGATCCTTGGACAATCCGCAAAAAATACCATGTGAGTTTCCAGGAAAAAAATTAAAAACATGCATAAATCAAGGCTGAAACAATTGCTTCAAAACTACTTATGTCTGACAAAATGAAAAAGTCAGCTAAACCAAAACTGTATTCACTCAGCTCCATATCCCACCCTATTACTCTTCTTGGCACTATCTCTTTTCCTATTCCTACAATCCACCAACTGTTGTTTTGTTTGTCATCCAGGAAGTTTGCAATGAGCTGTGGTGTCTTAGCAAGACCAACCGGTGTATCACCAACAGTATTCCAGCTGCAGAAGGGACGATATGCCAGACTAACACCATTGAAAAGGGGGTAAGGAAAAACCACGATATCAGAAATAGATAAAAGTTCTCAGAGGTTTTCAAACCTGACCACTGGAAGATGTGTGGACTTCAACTCCCAGAATTCCCGGCCAGCATGAAGTCCATACATCTTCCAATTGCCAAGTTTGAAAAACACTGATCTAACTAGTACAGTAAACACTCATTGCTCAGTAATAGGGCCTCTGGTTTTTGCGTGCAGACTATTCCAATTTCATCTAAAGTAGTACCGCAGAAATACTTCCATCTAATACTATAAGTCCCTGTACCAAACGGTCTCAACCAGTATGAGATGGCTTCCTGTGTTTCTTGATAAATCGGATCTTTATTCAAAACCATGAGCATTTGGGAGCCTCAAGGAGTTGGGGGTAAAGCATTGGTGGCATATTCAAGGGTATAGATCAGCAGTCTTCAAACGTGGCCCTTTTATGACTTGTGGACTTCAACTCCCAGAATTCCTCAGCCAGCGTGCCTGGCTGAGGAACTCTGGGAGTTGAAGTCCACAAGTCATAAAAGGGCCAAGTTTGAAGACCCCTGGTATAGATAGTCCTCGATATACAACCATTTGTTTTGTTAACAACAGCACTCAAAAAACGGCTTATAACTTATGACCACCACGCGTCCCCACAATCAAGTGATCAGAATTTGCATGCTTGGCAACCAGCATGTATTTACGACAATTTCAGCACCTGGAGTCATACGATCATCATTTCCCAGCTGGCTTCCAACAAGCAAAGTAAACAGGGGAAGCCTGATTCATTTAATGACCCCATGAGTCACTTAACTGCAAGGGTTCGCTTGACAACCAGGGCAAAAAAGGTGAAAAAAATTGGGCGTGACTCAACAACACTTTGCTTAGTAATCTGGTCTCAATTCTAGTTGTAACTCAAGGACTACCTATATAGGCAAACCAAGGGGATTATGAATAACTGCTTTGGCTTTCTGAAATATTGGCATCTGGCCCTCTCAATTCCTGGCAAATAGATGGGGAAGAAATGGAGGTAGTGACAGATTTTATCTTCCTGGGCTACAAGATCACCACAGATGGGGACTGCAGAAATTAGAAGAAATTAGAAAACTCTTGCTCCTGGGGAGGAAAGCTATGGCAAATCTAGACAGCATACAAAAAAGCAGAGACATCACCCTGCCAACAAAAGTACGTGTAATCAAGGCCATGGTTTTCCTAGTTGCAATGTATGGCTGTGAAAGTTGGACCATAAGAAAGGCTGAGCGCTAAAGAATTGAAGCCTTTGAACTATGGTGCTGGAGAAGACTCCTGCAGGTCCCCTGGACTGCAAGGTGATCAAACCGGTCAGTCCTAGAGAAGATCAACCCCGACTGCTCTTTAGAAGGCCAGATCCTGAAGTTGAAACTCAAATACTTTGGCCACCTAATGAGAAGGAAGGACTCACTGGAGAAGAGCCTCATGCTGGGAAAGATTGAGGGCAATAGAAGAAGGGGACGACAGAGAAGGAAGTGGCTGGATGGAGTCACTGAAGCAGTAGGCGTGAACTTAAATGGACTCCAGAAGATGGTAGAGGACAGGAAGGCCTGGAGGAACGTTGTCCATGGGGTCGCGATGGGTCGGACACGACTTTGCAACTAACTAACAACAACAATATTGCCTGTGTTTTTCTCTCTGTCCCGCTTGCCTCCACCCTACTCAGTGGTGCTACAAGCGGGAATGCGTACCTTTTGGCATGCGGCCAGAAGGGGTGGATGGAGCATGGGGCACCTGGTCAGCCTGGGGAGAGTGCAGCCGGACCTGCGGGGGAGGTGTTTCCTCATCCATTCGCTATTGCGACAGTCCAAGGTAAGCAGATCACTGTCAACATCCGATGCAGCCTCTGGGCATAGCACTGTGGGCCTATAATCATGCATTCTTTACCATTTTTTTTCCCAAAAGGCCAACCATTGGAGGAAGGTATTGTCTAGGGGAACGAAAGCGCTACCGGTCGTGTAACATTGATGTGAGTAACACTAACCACAAACACACTGTGCAGCATCCCAGAAAATTAGAGGCGGAAAAACTGTTTAGGCCATCAAGTCTAACCCTCTTTTCAGTGCAGGAATTCATATTAAATCATCCCCAGACAATGATGTGCAGTGTCTGTCAGACACATCTGGAGGAGGAGGGCCCACCTACTTTCCTGGGAAATTAAGCTTCTCTTTTGAGCTTCTCTTCCCCCCCCCCCCCAAATACTCAAGTGAATCAGCCTTCTTGTATTTTAAAACCATTATTCCATGCTCTGCACATTATTCCATGTGATGCAGAATAGTTTGGGCCTATTCTTTGACATTGTTTCAGGTATAGAAATAGAAAGAAAAGAAAAGAAAAGAAAAGAAAGGAAAGGAAGGAAGGAAGGAAGGAAGAAAGAGGGAGGGAGGGAGGGAGGGAGGAAGAAAGAAAGAAAGAAAGAAAGAAAGAAAGAAAGAAAGAAAGAAAGAAAGAAAGAAAGATCCTCTTTGGTCTTCTCTTCTTTAGGCTAGTGTTTCTCAACCTTGGCAACATGAAGATGTGTGGACTACATTTCCCAGAATTCCCCAGTCAGCATGCTGGCTAGGGAACTCTGGGAGATGTAGTCCATCCATCTTCACATTGCCTAGGTCAGCGATGGCGAACCTTTTAGAGACCAAGTGCCCAAAAATTGGCCCCACCCCCGCTCCACCACCCTGCCCTCGCTCTGCCCCGCCATCCCCCACCCCGCCTGCCCGCAGGACCACTCACCGCCTCCAGGGCCCGCCGCAGATCGCCCAGGCAGCCCAGCAGCGCTATGGCGGCCACATCCTCTGCCTGCGCCCTGCAGCATCAACTACATGATGGGGTGTGAGGGCAGAGTCTTGTCTACGCTGCCTGGCTGCCATGTCCTTGGCTGCGCTGCTCCATGTGGGCCACGCTCGAGGGCAACTCTCCTTCAGGGGGGCTGCTGGAGAGGAGGGGGTCATGGGGGGAGGGCTCCAAGTGCCACCTCTGGCACCCGTGCCATAGTTTCGCCACCACTGGCCTAGGTTGAGAAACATTGCTCTAGTCTAAACTTCCTAATTTCTAGCAAAACATATTTTGCTCTTCTCTGAAACATTTCTGGTCTTTTCTGAATCCTTCTTAAAGTGGGTGCTCAGAACCGGACACAATACCGAAACTGGCATCTGAACCACTAATACTTTTCCTACTTGCAAACTGCACTTTTTCGATGCTGCCTGAAATTGCATTTAACTGTAAGGAATTTTGGGTTGGCCAGCTGGCGGGAATTCATAGAATATTTTTCAAACCTCATGAGTCATTTTGGTTGAAAGATAATTCAACATATTAATCCTTGCTCTGATTGTTATTTAATAATGTGGACTTGAGAATTTATCCTGTTTTCACCTCCCACTATGCCTGCTACAAGTGTTCTCAGAACTGCACCAAGTGGTTTCCTCTCCCTCCCCTGACAATATTTTGAAATTAAAAATCGGTTTCAGATAGTCTTTGGGAGGCATGATAATCAAAATTACCCCTTTATAGAGCTGCGAGAGACACCAGTTTTCCTATGTTGTATATTTCCAGGATACATCCATCAAAGATTTCTGTGTTCACAAATGCTTAATCAGGACAGTTAAAAACATCACATCTGCATTCATTCAAAATGCTAAGTGTGGCCAGTTTTGACCTTAGTTCATGGCATGGGGTTTTAGTTCTGTCTTTATGTTTTTGTTTGGAGGCAATGCGTTGTGTGGATTTAGACCACTTGACTAATCTATGGTTCAATCTCTTATGTCAGGGGTCCTCAAACTTGACCACTTTAAGACTTGTGGACTTCAACTCCCAGAATTCCCCAGCCAGCCATGCTGGCTGGTGAATTCTGGGAATTGAAGTCCACAAGTCTTAAAGTGGCCATGTTTGAGGACTCCTGTCTTATGTGAACCCATAAAATTGTCTGCATACTCAGCCACTGAATTCCTTGTACAGGTAGTCTTTAACTTACAACCACAACAGGGACCAGAATGTCTGTTGCTAAGTAAGGTAGTTGTTAAGTGAGTTGTGCCTCACTTTATGACCTTTTTGCCATGGATGTTAAATGAATCACTAAAGTTGTTAAGTGAATCGTGCGGTCATTAAGTGAATCTGCTTCCCCCATTGAAGTTATCTGAGATGCTCACATGATCCCAGGATGCTGCTACTGTTATAAACACATGTTGGTTGCCAAGCTCCCAAGTTTTGATCATGTGGATGCGACAACGGTTGTAAGTGCAAGGACTGGTCGTAAGTCCCTTTTTTCAGTTCTGTTGTACTTTTGAAGGGTTGTTAAACAAATGGTTGTAAACCGAGGACTGTCTCTCTGTATGTAGCATTTTTTTATCTATAATAGTTAAGAGTCACAAATAGATTCACTTTCTATTTGAATATATCTCAATGCAAAAAACAACAACAAACCCTTTCCTGGAGACCTTACATTTCAAGATTAAGCTCCATCCTAACCAAATATTTTTATTTCACCACCATGATGTTTTTGATCAGGAGCCAGAAATAGTTTTACCATCCATGTATCTGTGGACATAACCACGTCCGGCTGTTGATAATAATTCTGGGATTTTCCTTTCTTCCATGATTCTTACCCTGCTTTAGGATTGTCCTCCTGGGTCAAAAGACTTCAGAGAGCTTCAATGTGCTGAATTTGATCACATCCCCTTTCGGGGCAAATATTATACCTGGAAGACGTACCGAGGGGGTAAGTGCAGCATTTTCTAACAGACAGCTTCCACATCCACATGGTCATAATATGTGCAAGTTAACAAAAGTCTGCAGAGTAGGATGTTTTTGCACAACTGGTGAATTATGTTTTGTTGCAATTCTATCTGTGCTTTTCCATTTTTTTCTACAACAGTAAATAGGAATTCCATGCATATTGAATAATAATAATAATAATAATAATAGTAGTAGTAGTAGTAGTAGTAGTAGTAGTAGTAATAATAATAATAATAATAATAATAATAATAATAATAATAATAATAATAATAATAATAATAATAATAATAATAATAATAATAATAATAATAATAATAATAAAAGTTCGAAGGACCTTGGAGGTTATCTAGTCCAACCCCCTGCTCAGGCAGGAAACCCTATACCATTTCGGACAAATGGCTGTCCAGTCTCTTCTTAAAAACTTCCAGTGTTGGAGCATTCACAACTTCTGGAGGCAGGTTGTTCCACTGATTAATTGTTCTCATTGTCAAGATATTTCTCTTTAGTTCTAGGTTGCTTCTCTCCTTGATTAGTTTCCATCCGCTGCTTCTTGTCCTGCCTTCAGGCGCTTTGGAGAATAGCTTGACTCCCGCTTCTGTGTGGCAGCCCCTGAATTGGGTTGGGCTTTTGTGCATGATATGTAAAGTTTAGCACTCAGAGAATTGAAACTGCGATTAGCATATGTGCAAGCTGGAAAGCTGACGGCCTGAATTTGAGACCCAAGTGCTGCATGATGGGGTGAGCTCCCATTACTCGGTCCAGCTCCTTTCCAGAAAGCAGTCCAAAAGCATGTAAATGTGAGTAGATGAATAGGTACCACTTCGATAACAGCGTTCTGTGCGCCTCAGCATATAGTTATGCTGGTCACATGACCACAGAAGTGTCTTGGGACAATACTGGCTCCCTTGGCTAAGAAATGGAGATGAGCACCACCCCCTAGAGTTGCATATCTAACACCTACTGTCTGGCTTCTGTCATGGTCTGTAAACAAAGAATGCCTTATCCTCTTTGACTCCTGCTGACTGTAGAATATTGTATTCTTACAGGCAGGTCTAACGGGCAAATGAGCTAGCTCATTTGGACCAATTGAGACATGTTTGTGGCCCTCCAAGGTACAATTGCATTGAAGTAATAAAAACACAAAGTTATTAAAAGCATTAAATCAATTTTCACTCACCTGTTTATTGCTTTGGGATTCTACTTTGTCCTGCAGTCTCCTCCTAATTTTTGAAGGTCATAATGTTGTTTAAGATGGTTGAAAATGTGCCTTTTCTCTATTGCCCTCTTTGTAAGTAAATAATTGGCTTATATTTATTGCTATTTAGAGTTATTTTTTTATTAAAAAGGCTATATTTAATATAGTTGTGAGGTCCAACCTGGAAAATAGCCTAGAAGAAAACCAGATTTTTAATAACGTATTTCACCGTTACCACACTGGATCTTAATATCTTGTGTTACACAATGGAGTACTGAGGAGTACCCAAGTTACTATTGCTTAAGGCATCGGTTGGCCTTAATCCATCTGTGCAAATAGCAGAGAAAATGAGATATTGATAGACAAGAGAGAAAGAAGGTGTTTTTCCAAGCAGTTCTGTTTTTCCACTCTGATTTACAACTGCAAAAAGGAGGCACAACAGGAGTGCGCAGCTCAGCCATTTTCAGAGATTGTGTGGAATTTCACATTCCCCACCCCCACTCTCAGTTTAGAAAAAATGACTACAAGGCAGCAGACAGAAACAGGGGTGAGAAGACCCAGGAAAGGCTGGGGAGAGGGAAGATTGTCAAAAGAACTGATAGTTTTCTCTGTGAATGATTTTTGCAGCTACTTCCTTTGGGGCAAGAACTATGGGACGGAGAAGCAAAAAATAAACTAATGAAAACAGATTTTGAAATCTTACAGCTTTATTTCTCAGCCTTGGCAACTTTAAGATGTGTGGACTTCAACTCCCAGAATTCCTTAGCCGACGTTGCAGTTGAAGTCCATACATCTTAAAGCCACCAAGCTTGAGAAACACTGTCCTAAGGTGTTTCTTCTGAGGACATACTGTTTCACCCAGGAAATAGGCATTTAGAATTCTCCAGGTGAAGGGAAAACAAGTGGAAGGTAAGAAGGAGGCAGAAACCTTCTGCTGTCTAATGATAATCTTAGAAATGTCTAGGGCAGGGATAGGCAACCTTGGCTCTTTTATGACTCGTGGACTTCAACTCCCAGAATTCCTGAGCCAGCATGGTTAAGCTTGGAAACCTCTCCCTTTCCCCTCAGCATGACTGGCTCAGGAATTCTGGGAGTTGAAGTCCACGAGTCATAAAAGAGCCAAGGTTGCCTACCCCTGGTCTAGGGAAGGACATTCTGGCTAGCATATTGCAGCTTTCATTCCCCCCTCTAAGGACAAGTTCAAGAAAAAAATGTGCAGCATCCAGCTGCCGAAAGCTTGCCCACCCAGATACACCCTGTAGAATTTTTTAATGTTAGAAAGCATTTTGAAGGCCATCCAGTTCCCTGCTCTATGCCCCGAAATCTTGCAACTTCAGCATTCTTGGCAGACAAATTTACAGCCTCTGCTTCAAACTCCTGCAGAGAAGAAGCCATCATTCCTCAAAGAAGTTTGTTCCAGCAGCAAACAGTTAATAGGAAGGTTCTCTTTAAATTTAGCCCAGTGGCTGGCCTGCCAATTCTCCCCATTAGTTCTTCCATGGAATCATGTTATTGTCCCTCTTGTAACTAGTAAGGTGCAATAATTGAAAAAAACAAGATTGAGCTTTCCTTTAATTTTCTATCTTTCTAGTTGTTGTTGGTTTTTAAAAATTATTCTTTGTAGGACTTGGTTTCTTGATTTACCACCATTCTCGTCACTTTCCCTTAAACATCCTCAGCTCCTTAAACATAGTCCCAGCCCTTTGGCACATGGCTCAAAGATCAAGTGTGGCCCTTGGCCAAAAGAAAAATGAAAAAAAAAGACCAAAGCTGCATATCCTGGCTTATATCCTTCGAACTGAGATTCCTTTCCACTCTTCCATCTGTTTTTGCTAAACACTCAGACTCAGCCATTGCGCCAAACCACCTCTGAGACATCTGTTAATAAGCTCCAGGTTTCTCAGCTGCTAACCCTCTGAAGGAGCTGAGCAGTGTTGAACTCCAGGGAGCCAGAGCTGAAATGGATTTAAAATATAAGGGGACAGAAGGATATGCAATCAATTTTCTTTGTTCAGATTTGTAGGCATGACTTCAAATTTTTAACTCTCCTAGTCTAAAGAGATTCCTCTTCCACTTGCCAATACAATAGCCTGGGTTCACACAACACACTTAAGCAAGTCGGTTCAGGGTCCAGAGGATAGCACCATCCTGCTTGCCCTGTTAGTAAAGGGGAGGGGGCACTTTTAACCCCAAATAATATCAGGGAACTTGTGAATCCTCCAATCAGCTGTTTTGTGCAAATCCAGGATTCTAATCAACTACAGGTAGTCCTCGACTTATGCTCACAATTGAGCCCAAAATTTCTGTTGCCAGCAACAGTTGCTAAGTGAGTTTTACCCCATTTTATGACCTTTCTTGTCCACAGTTGTTAAGTGAATCACTGCAGCTGATAAATTAGTAACATGGTTGTTAAGTGAATTTAGCTTCTTCATTAACTTTGCTTGTCAGAAGGTTACAAATGGAGATCACATGACCCTGGGACACTGCAACCTTCCTAAATGTGAGACCATTGCCAGGCACTCAAATTTTGATAATGTGACCATGGGGACGCTGCAACAGTCACTTTTTTCATGCTGTTACAATTTCAAATGGTCACCATAGGAATGGTTATAAGTTGAAGACTACCAGTATGGCCTAGTGATCAGCTCAACCAATCAGTGACAGAAAGAAATGACAGAGACTCTAAAGCAGGGGTGTCAAACTGCCCGCCCGTGGGCCGGATGTATCATGCCGAAACCGCGCCCACCCCAGCTCCAGCAATGGGCAAAAAGTCGCGATACATCGCAACACGTCACGTGACATTGTGAGTTTGACACCCCTGCTCTAAAGCAACTGCAGAAACATGGCACTTCATCCCAAAATTTGTTTTCAGGTCCAAGCAATGGAAAACAATACATCCCTCAAACATTGATTAGCTGCAGCCCGGTTGTCCAATGAGAACAGGTTATTTGCCTGGCAGGTACTGTCTTGGCACAAAGTTTGGAGGACATGAACAAGGGTGAGATTCCTTGAGTTGGTTAATCTGATTATCGGCGACTAGATCTACCAGCTATGGCTGGTTCTAGCTGAATGAGGCTCCCTTTAGAGATGACCTTGAAAATACAGCTGGTACAAAATGTGACAGCCAAACTACTACTAGGGCCATCTCCTCAGTGTACAGCAGGGGTCTTCAAACTTGGCCCTTTTATGACTTGTGGACTTCAAGTCCCAGAATTCCTCGGCCAGGCATGCTGGCTGAGGAATTCTGGGAATTGAAGTCCACAAGTCATAAAAGGGCCAAGTTTGAAGACCCCTGATCTATACCCTTGAATATGCCACCAATGCTTTGAAGTTTGAAAACCCCTGGTGTACAGCAACACTGTTCTTGAAGATGCTACACAGTAGGCTTCTGGATCCAATTCTAAAGGCTAATCATTACCTTTAAAAGCCCTATATGTAAAGCACATCGGGTAACTTGCCAAAATAACATTTTCCCATCCAGTAGAAAAATCTAAGGAGGCCCTGTTGATGGTGCTTCTTCTAGCAGGCTATATGGAGTTCAACAAGATGATAGACATTCTCATTGGAGACTCCAATCATCCTTGCATTTAGCAAGTTAAAGAAGTGCTGTATATCACCATGCTTTTCAAATCTAGTTATATCTGGATATCTATCGTAAGTAGTCAACTATTGACCACTTCTACTTGAAATGATTTTAAATTCTACTTTGGGGCAGGTTATAAACATTGTTCAACAAACACACAAACTTGTGTAACTGTAGATTTCTAAAAGCTCCAGTTCCTTGTAACCTTGGTTTTGTAACATACTAATGTCAGAAGAATAATTTAGGATTTCACCTCGAGCTGGGGTTGCGCAAGAATAAATAAAAATGAAATCCAGACAGCTGTGAGGAAAGGAGAATTATTTATTCCCAAAAGCATGGAGGTTTGCTTTGGGGGCAGCTGCAGAAAAAAATGGGGTACAGAGACATTGTTTTATAGGGGAGCTTATCCTGGGTATGGAAGTGTGTACATGCTGATTCTAGGGTGACACTTGAGGAGCATAGGTGTGTGCAGGTACCTGTTCATCAATGATGTGTATTATTGTGAACATGCAGTTCTGCATGGTGACCATTTTAATTATCTCTGTGTTTACATACCTCCTTCTTTAATGTGTAGGTTAGGTCTGGGTAACTTATTTGGGGGTTTAAGGAAGTTTGAATAAAATATTTTATCCCGTTTGCTATTTTTATTTGATTAACTTAGTTTTAACTTGACTGTCAATTATCTAGTGGAGACGCTGATTCTCAGTCCATTATAGATTCTGTTAATGTTTAAGGGAAGATGGAGACATTATAAATAATAAAATATATTTTGGTATAGAACTTTCCACACTAAGCTCCACAAATAAACCATGTGATGGCTTAACACGATAGCCTAATTTATATAACTTGGTAAGACAATGACTGGGTTGTCTCAATATGTCGAATAACAAATTCCCCATCCCCATTTTATCTTCGTCTAAATGCACCAGTTACATTTTGCCTAATTGCAGGAAGCCAGTCACAAAAATCTCTCCTTTTACCTATATGCCAATTAATTTGCAATACTTTGCAAAGTTATGGTGGATTCTCAAGAGGGAAGGGCTGCATTCCAAAGGATCAAGAGAAAGTAAAAAAAAATTGGGGGGGAAGACTTAAGAGGCTTTTCCCTAGCAATTTTCAGAGTATATATTTAGTGCAGCAAATAGTTGCTTCAGTTTAGGGTCAAATGACTAGATCAAATGACTAGATCACAAGTTTTCATTCTTTTCTAAAACAAGGAAGAAAAAATTCAAATGGGTTTTCTGAAGCAACCAAAGTATCAAGGCTTGTTCACATTAATAGCCTATTAACATTTCAGACAAATGGTTGCCCAATCTTTTCTTGAAAACCTCCAGTGATAGATCATCCTTCTGGAGACAATTGATTGTTCCCACTGTCTGGAAATTTCTCCTTAGTTTTAGGTTGGATCTTTCCTTGATTAATTTCCATCCATTACTTCTTGTTCTGCCTTCTGGTGCTTTGACCCTCTCTTCTTTGTGGCAGCTTCTTAGATATTGGAAGACTGCTATCATGTGACATTATCAATAGGGAACATGGTGCACAGGGCAGAAAAAAAATCACCATTTGGAAGTGCTCATAGTATAACTCAGTGGTGGCGAACCTATGGCACGGGTGCCAGAGGCGGCACTCAGAGCCTTCTCTTTGGGCATGCGCACCAGTCCTAGGCCTTCAGCTGGGTTTTATAAAACCTTTTCGCTTTAGGCCCCCGCCGCCGTGTGCAGAAAAAAAAAAGGTTCAATCAATCAGTCAATTTCAACTTCTTGTGGGGAAAAAAAGATCTTGCAAAGTTGGAATTGATTGATTAAACTGTTTAGTCCCATCCAGTCTGCCGTTACCACTGCAGCCATGCCCACCCAATGGGCCACACCTACCCAATTGGCCACACCCAGCCAATGGACCACACCCACCCAGCACCCGACGATGCATGTGGGTTTTGGGTTGCAGTTTGGACACTCGGTCTCTAAAAGGTTCGCCATCACTGCCCTAGCCACTACACACCAAACCAGCTCTCAGTTTTATTTCTTGTGGCACAGAATTTGGCAAGATATAAAAATACACGGAAATCACCTTGTCCCAGAGAAGGCAACGTGTGAGATTGGGTACAAAACACGCAGCTTTCCTCATCCCATATGCAGTGGCTATGGCAGAGGAAGAGGCTTGGGACCTGTGGCCATCACAAATGCACTTTTTTTTTTTTGCTTAGTTAGGTAAAAAATAATTCAGCCTTCAGTAAAGATGCTATTCTGCCATCCAGCCTCTGATGAACGTGTGTGAATTAATTCCCGGCTTGCAGGTGGTGTCAAGTCCTGCTCACTCAACTGTTTGGCAGAAGGTTTTAACTTCTACACGGAGAGGGCTGCAGCTGTGATCGATGGAACGCCTTGCCGCCAGGACTCCCACGACATCTGCGTCAGCGGAGAATGCAAGGTGACTGTGTGTTAGTCAAGCCGTTGGTCTTTCCTGCCCATACAGCAGCAGTCCCCAAACTTTCCGGCTTCCCGGGGGGGGGAGCAGAAGGAATAGTTCTGTGTGAGTGGCAGGCGCATGCGCAAGCATGCACAGTTCCATTAGTGCAAGCGGCCGGCATACGCACCTGCCGCTCACACTAATGGAGCTTTGGGTGCAAATGCGAACACCCACTGCTTGCACAAGTGGAGCTGTGTGCATGCAGATGCTCCCCCACCGCTTATGTGGCCTGTTGGGGACCCCTGCCAAAGAGAACTGTCTGCTTATTGCTCCAGTGCAATAGAGGTAGTCCTCAACTTACGACCATAAATGGAGCATGCCAATCATAATCATAAGTCATGACAGTTGCAAATCAGGTCGCCCACATGACCAACCTGATTTTACAATCTTTTTTGCAGTGGTTGTTAACTCTGCAATCATTAAGCAAACCAATTGTTTGCTGGAGGTAAATTTACTGGAGGTAAATTCTGGGTTTTGGCAAAACCGATGTAAAAGCAATCATGTGACTATAGGGACGCTGCAATTGGCCATAAATGTGGCCCCGTTGCTGAATGCCTGACATGCAGTCATGTGACTTCAGGGTGATAGCCATTGAAACTTTGAATCCAGGTTAAAATGACCCCCTCCCAGTTAGTCTGCCATAACTTCGAACAATTACTAAGGAACCGGTCATAAGCCAAGGACTTCCTGTATGGTACTTCTAGATTTAATTTGGAGGGAAATGAAAGAAAATACAATTGGTGCATTAATACTTTCTCCACTGGAGAATTAACCAATGAAATTCACTGGCACAAGATATATTCGTGGTGTTTGTTCAGGTGGCTATAAAAGATGATGAGACAAATTGATATAGAGATCTGCCATTAACTATTGATCTTATTAAAAACAGCAAGATTCTTGAGAGTACTTGTTGAGAAAAACAGTTGCCTTTACCCAATGCCTGTGAACTTTTGAAGATGTCGTTTATGGACCTTTGATACAATTCAGGAAAATTATTTTCAGGACAATTATTTTTAAGAGGCATTTTTTAGTATCAAACAACAAAGAATGGTTGTACTTTTATGTAGGCTTCCTGGCAGCATCTGTATGACCACTGTGGGAAATACGTTTTTTTAATCTGATCAATAGCAATATCACTTAGACTTACATACCGCTTCATAGTGCTTTACAGCCCTCTCTAAGCGGTTTACAGAGTCAGCGTATTGTCCCCAACAATCTGGGTCCTCATTTTACCAACCTCGGAAGGATGGAAGGCTGAGTCAACCTTGAGCAACCTTGAGTCAATCAAGGAGCATTTTAAGTTTTTAGAGGCACTAGCAGGAAAGCTATTAAAATGAGACCCTGAAAGCACCAGATCCACATGCATTTTCCATTTATTTCTCATAAGCATGTGGGCTGTGACCGCGTCTTAGGCTCAGATACTAAAGAGGACAAATGCCGGGTCTGTGGAGGAGATGGAACCACCTGTGAAACTATTGAAGGGATCTTCAACCATTCACTGCCTGATGGAGGTGAGGATGACTTTGTGACTCTACAGATTTAAAAATAAGAGAGCTGTAGGAGCAGAGAGTTGGCGTCATTTCCCACAGAAGTACTTCTATTCTGAGAAAATCTTGTTTTCAAAAAAATGAACATCCACTGGTTTGAATTGGGATGTTTTGCTTGTAAATTACACCAAATGTATCTAGAAGGTCACATGCCCTTTGTCACAAGTGGTGTTTTTCAACTTTTAAAATACGTCTTCAAGGGTGATTACAGTAATAAAGCAGAAATTGCCAAATGAACAACAACATAAACATAGACACTGCATTTAAAAATATTTTTGTCTATTCATCTGGAGAAAGACAAAGCTTGGTTGGCTAAACTGATATTCAACGTACCCATGTGTGTAATCACTATATACTGTAGATGTACACATTTAAATTAATTCACTTTAGATTCTATTTTCATCTTGAAAAATCTTAACAATTATAAGACTCTCATTTCGAGATGGGGAAGGAAAATATGTTTTGGCCAGTCCCATCTGTCCCCTTCTGAATTTATACAGTATCCTAAATTAGGATTAACAAAACACTTTCTATATTCAAATAACATGTTGTTTCCCCCACAATTAAACCATATTACAGTTTAGTATCTTGGCCAGATTAACACAATGTATTAACACTGTGGTTGCATTCCCACAGTACATTTAATCCCAACTACCCAGCCTCTTTTTAGAGGGGTAAAGGGGGCCATCTAGGTTAAAATTGAATAACTCTCTCTCAGCAGAGGATGAGGGAATCACCTATCTCAGCATCAAGAAGGTCCCATATCCATTTGCCCTCTGATTCAGGTGGCCCTGAGAGTACAGATAAATCCCCAAGTGACTTCAATGACTCTCAGAGTGCTAACGACCAGATGACTGCAAAGAATATACATTCTTCCATCCCCCCACCATTCAGTTAGAACTGAAAAAGCTCCTTGTATAACAAGTGAAATGTTTTTTTTGGGGGGGGGAAACAAGGAAATCCAGTTGCCTTTTGGAAAAGCACCTTTGGGACACCCATGATCTAGATCAGTGACGGCGAACCTTTTAGAGACCGAGTGCCCAAAAACTGGCCCCGGCCCCGCTCCAGCCCCTGCCCCGCCCCCACCCCGCCTGCCCGCAGGGCCACTCACCGCCTCCAGGGCCCGCCGCAGATCGCCCAGCAGCGCCATGGTGGCCACACCCTCTGCCTGCGCCCCGCAGCATCAACTGTACACGATTGGGTGTGAGGGCAGAGTCTTGTTTACTCTGTCTGGCTGCCATGTCCTTGGCTGCACTGCTCCACGTGGGCCACGCTCGGGGGCGACTCTCCTCCAGGGGGACTGCTGGTGAGGAGGGGGTCGCGGGGGGAGGCAAGGCTGGGGCAATGGCACGTGTGCCCACAGAGAGGGCTCCAAGTGCCGCCTCTGGTACCCGTGCCATAGGTTCGCCACCACTGATCTAGATGATTGAGAATCTCCATAGATATCAACCTCTCTTTAGCCTGGCCTAGCATATTGCGTGAACACAGTCAGTGGTTATGTTGGCAGTTTATATGCATAAAGTGCCAGACCTAGCTTCCAGGGTTTTTTTTTAAAAAAATCAAGTAATAGAGAATGGAACGTTTTTAGTAAATCATGGCCAGTTAGAATAAAATATATTTATCCAACCTGGTGCCCTCCAGATGTGCTTAAAACGCAAAGCCAAGATAAAGGTAATTCTGGAAGCTGATGTTGCAATCTAATTGGAGGGCACCAGGTTGAAGAAACCTTCATAGTTACCCAGACAATGTTACTAAGATACAGAGAACTAATTTCAGTTCCTCAGACCACAATTGCTGTATATTCTGGGAATCACGATCCCACTGTACGTATCTGCAAGATTACGTAAAACGATCCTGTGTAAACTTTGCATATTTAATGCAACTACGGTAAGTATGTGGTTATAAATTCCCCACTCCATTTTTCAAATTGTTTTTCAGGCTATGAGGAGGTGATACTGATTCCCAAAGGATCTGTCCACATTGATATCCGGGAACTTAATCATTCTCTGAATTATCTTGGTGAGAAGTTTGTATTATCCGGGGAATGTTTTAGGTCTGATGTTCTTGAAATGACTTTCTGTAGATCAGGGGTCTTCAAACTTGGCCCTTTTATGACTCGTGGACTTCAACTCCCAGAATTCCTCAGCCAGGCATGCTGGCTGAGGAATTCTGGGAGTTGAAGTCCACAAGTCATAAAAGGACCAAGTTTGAAGACCCTGCTGTAGATGTTCCTCAGCAGTTCTTTTCTGTCTCTGCCAGTTTCCTATACTTCAGAATGTACTAAGGAGAAACTTTTGCTTCTCTGAAGGTTATTTTGCCCACTAGCTTAATTTGTCAGTCTTTCACAGTAAGTAAGAAATAGTCAAAAATAGAAGGAAGCAATCTGAAGGGTCAAAGTAGGGCCTCTTTTTTTCTTCTTCTTCTTCAGAAAGTTGACATTGTTTGCAATAGTGGCAAATATCTGTAGCTCTGGTATAGGATGATGGTAGAGGTTCGTTCTCCGAGGGTTAGTTTCCAAACGTTTCATTACTAGGCTAGGTAACATCTTCAGCGGAGTTCAGTGTCGATGTTCTTCTGCTTATAAGGACTCATGTGGTCAGTAGGTCTTGTGATGGCGAGGTCATGTCAGGTCAGGGTCTTGTGATGGGTCAGGGGTGGGATGTGTCATGTGAGGGTCTTGTGATGGGTCTCGTGATGGGTCAGGTATGGGTCTCTCACACCTCACCTCACTTGTGACCCACATCTGACCCATCACAAGAGCCTCACTTGACACATCCCACACCTGACCCTGACAAGACCCTGACCTGATATGACCCTCACCTGATGTGACCTTACCATCACAAGACCTACTGACCAAATGAAGCCCTTATAAGCAGAAGAACATTCCCTAAGTTCTGCTGAAGATGTTAACTAGCCTGGTAACGAAACGTTCAGAAATCAATCCACAAGCTTGGAGAATGAACTTCCATCCTCAGTTGACATTGTATTGTAATTTTTAATGTCTAACCCTAGCCCTAACCCTGGTCAGGTCTTCAGAAAGTAAACCTGGTTGTGGCTTACTGAGGCATGCTCATAAAGGACCTAAGAATTTTCTTGGGTTGGCACCATGTGGGTGGACAGAAGAGACTATGAAGTAAGGCAGCTACCAACTTCAGTGCATGCCACCTAGGCAACCACTAGATGGTAGCAAAGATATTCAGAATACTGTCATTCTTTGCTGCCATTAGTGGTTATTGATATTCCTGCACCCTAAATCTCAGTCCTAACAGAGATACAGTATAACCTGCCAGTTCCTGAACCACCGCTGCTGCTGTTCTTCCCTGCAGATGGCTTGCCTGCACAAGCCTTAGGCATCAGGAGAGATCTGCTTCCCCAAATGTAGGCTCTAAGCCAGTGGTGGCGAACCTATGGCACAGGTGCCAGAGGCGGCACTCAGAGCCCCTCTCTGTGGGCACGCGCGCCGTCGCCCAAGTCCTAGGCCTTCAGCTGGGTTTTATAAAACCTTTTCGCTTTAGGCCTCCGCCGCCGTGTGCAAAAAAAAAAAAAAGATTCAATCAATCAGTCAATTTCAACTTCTCGCGGGGAAAAAAAAAGATCTCGCAAAGTTGGAATTGATTGATTGAACTTTTTAGTCCCACCCAGTCTGCCCACCCAATGGGCCACACCCACCCGACACCCGATGATGCATAAGTGGGTTTTGAGTTTCAGTTTGGGCACTCGGTCTCTAAAAGGTTCGCCATCACTGCTCTAAGCACTTGAACTGATTGGTAATATTGCCAGGAGGGAGGTGGGTGTTCCATCTGGTTTGGTCTTCCTGAGGCTTGGCTTTGTTGTCCCCAATTCGGGTCTGAGCCTGGTGCCAAAGTCAATAGCGAACACCAGACATGGAAAAGGGGTCCTGGCTAGAAAATGCCAAGGAACCTCGAACAATAGAATTAAGAAAGCTTTAAGCATTTTCACTAAAGCGGGAGGTGGGATAAGGCGGGATATATAAAGCAAATCATCTAATAAACATTTTAGTAGTGATCTAACAATTGTCCTATTGTTCTCTAGCCGTCCCTATTCCTAAGCCTTGGCTAATGAATGCTCCAGGACAGTGGTTCTCAACCTGTGGGTCAGGACCCCATTTGGGGTCGATCGACCATTTCACGGGGGTCGCCAAGCAAGGCTTTCCGCCATTTTTTTTGTCCACCATTTTTCCCCCTTTTCCGGCGGGTGCCTTACCTCCCTTGGGCTGGACCAGCTGGTGGTCTGCTCCGTCTCTGCCGCTTGCCAGCTACGCCTCGGCTGGCGCAGGAGGCGGAACCACACGCGCAGCGTTCCCGGGCAGGGAAAGTCCTCAGCTTACGACCGGTTGGGTAGTCCTCGACTTACGACCGGTTTAGTCCTCAACTTACGACCAGTTTAGTCCTCGACTTACGACCGGTTTAGTCCTCGACTTATGACCGGTTGGGGTCGCGGCATTAAAAAGGTTGAGAACCACTGCTCCAGGAGTTATCTAATACACATTCTGTTTGCTCCAGGCCATCCCTATTCCTAACTTCTAGCTGAGGTATACAGGATGTCTAACCTCTAATACTGTTATCCGTCCTCTAACCACCTAAAATTGACACAAATGCCACAGCTGCCTATTCCCTGAGGATAAGCATTCTTTGTTCTTGCCAGACAGACTCCACAATTACAGGCTCCCCGGTTTTCTTTCAAGGGCATGCCATAGCCTTGCTTCGCTTTAGCAGACCGCCCATCAGCTTGAAACATTGTCTTTTGGCTTCTTCTTCCAGCTCTGAGAGGAGAAAACGATGAGTATTTTGTCAACGGGAAACTTTCGATCGACCCTCCTCGGCGCTTTGACATTGCTGGAACCACGTTCCACTACGGGCGCTCCCAGGATGAACCAGAGTCACTCGAGGCCCTGGGCCCAACTAACATCACCCTGATTGTTATGGTTAGTTATAATGTTGGGCCAAAACAAGGGATGGGGAGAGGAAATATTAATTGGACAGAAAGCTTTATTCAGTTTGAGCAAGAGGGCCTCACTTGATAAATTTAAATTGTGAAAGAGACGAGGGACTGTTCATTGACGTGATCCTTTTTCCACAGGCTAGAATTACCCAAGGGACCTAAATCTGTTTCCGAGCAGCTTTTTATAAAGATCACTGAGGATATAAGATTGCCTTGTGATTAGTATGCAATATATTTCCCATCTGTAGCTGTCAATCTATTTGTTTCTTTGTTATATTCATAGAGCCACCTATCTCACTTCTGTGACTTTGGGCGGCTTACAAAGTTATAATTTTTTTTAAAAAACCAATCAAAATTATAACTGTGAAAGTTATTAAAACATAAAAAAAGAATTAAATTTTTTAAAACTGTAAAAAAGTACACTATAATAATAATAATAATAAAGTTGGAAGGGACCTTGGAGGTCATCTAGTCCAACCCCCTGCTCAGGCAGGAAACCCTACACCATTTTGGACAAATGGCTGTCCAGTCTCTTCTTAAAAACTTCCAGTGTTGGAGCATTCACCGCTTCTGGAGGCAGGTTGTTCCACTGGTTAATTGTTCTCACTGTCAGGAAATTTCTCCTTAATTCCAGGTTGCTTCTCTCCTTGATTAGTTTCCACCCGTTGCTTCTTGTCCTGCCTTCAGGCGCTTTGGAGAATAGCTTGACTCCCTCTTCTTTGTGGCAGCCCCTGAGATATTGAAAGACTGCTATCATGTCCCCCCTCGTCCTTCTCTTCATTAAACTAGACATACCCAATTCCAGCAACCGTTCCTTATATGCTTTAGCCTCCAGTCCCCTAATCATCTTTGTTGCTCTGTGAGAGAGCGCCATTCATTTTCCTAACAGGCTCTCCCCCAACATCACTGGATCCCCAGGCCGAATGGCAAAGCCAGATCTTCAGCCTCTATCAGAAGGCCGATGTAATAACATGTGAGAATGACCTTACAGGGAAAGGGGAAAGAGGGGGGAATGGTCAGACAAGAGAGGGCATTGCCTGCAATTGCATAATGGGCAGAGAAAGAAGCTCAGAAGCCCCTCCCCCCCCAAAAAGTTCATAGGCTGTAAAGGAGAGAGCGAAAGATTTGTACATCCAGACTTGCAAAATTCCATTACTGCAGTCCTACAGTAAAGTAGAATTAACTCATCTGGTCATTTTTCCTGTCTGGTCTGCCTGGGAAGGCTAACCTAAAAGTACAATTCTCCCACCATTTCCTTTACAACCTGGGGGGGAGGGAGGGTCCCTTCTGAACCCCCTTCTCTGCCCATTATGCAGCTGTGGCCCTCTTTTATCTGACTATACCTAATCATCAACTCTTCCCCAAGGTCATTTCTACACACCATTACAGCCAATAAGGTCAGGGCCAACCTGACCTCAGGGCTGTTATGTTTCAAAGAGCAGGTGAGGCAACAGAAAAAGCTCCTGGATCCCTTCAGATGACATTTCTTCACGGTTGAGACCTGCAACATGTCCTTGATGCCAGACCTGATGGGACAGATGTGATTGGGATGAGGCAATCCCTCAAATATCCCAGCCCATATGCCATTCAGGGCTGTATAAATCATCACCGGCACCTTGAATATAACTTGGCAGCAAACTAGTAGCTCACAGATCAGAAATGTAATAAGTGTTCATCTAGATCAGGGATGTTCAAACTTGGCAGCTTTAAGACTTGTGGACTTCAACTCCCAGAATTCCTCAGCCAGCCATGCTGGCTGAGGAATTCTGGGAGTTGAAGTCCACAAGTCTTAAAGCTGCCAAGTTTGAACATCCCTGATCTAGATACACACATAACTACCGTATTTAATAATATCAACTCATAGTTGCTATCATCTAGCAAAATGGGTTTGGCTGTGTGTATGTTTTCACACCCAGACGGCAATCTTTCTTTGAATGGGTTCACTAGAGATTTGTAATAGCATAGTTGTCAAGATCTCAAGTGTAAGTGAATAGAAGAAGCAATGAAAATTAACATCTCTGTCGTCTCATTTCTTCCTGCAATAAATGGATGTGTGTTCTTTCAACAGTTCTGTGATACTGTTGCCTGTCTATTGCTATAGGTTCTTGTGCGAGAAGAACTGCAGAGGATCCGATACAAGTTCAACGCACCCATCGTCCGCAATTCCATGGCCCAATATTTATGGCAGTATGTCTCATGGACAACGTGTTCTGCGATTTGTGCTGGAGGTAAGAGTTTAATGATCCCAAGAAAGTAATAAGGAAAGTTAACAACAAGTAGAATATTGACAGTTGGTGGTTACTGATAGTTAAAGATTGCAAAAGAAATTTTCTTAAAATGTTTTACAATTTTCTCCTTCTCGTATTTTCAGCTTGAAAAAAGGACAGATATTTTTTTTACAAAGTAGTAGCTCACACTTTTTGTATAACGATGTAGTCTAATGATGGCAACTACCATCAGACAACAAACAAGCAATCAACCCACCACAATTAAAGACCATACATTAAGTATCACACAACATTCATCACTGCTCAGCTTCTTGATTACATGTACACTTTAGATAACTTGTACAATTGTTGTTAGTTGCGAAGTCGTGTCCGACCTATCACGACCCCATGGACAATGTTCCTCCAGGCCTTCCTGTCCTCTACCATCTTCTGGAGTCCATTTAAGCTCACGCCTACTGCTTCAGTGACTCCATCCAGCCACCTCATTCTCTTTCGTCCCCTTCTTCTGTTGCCCTCAATCTTTCCCAGCATTAGGCTCTTCTTCTTCTCATTAGGTGGCCAAAGTATTTGAGTTTCAACTTCAGAATCTGGCCTTCTAAAAAGCAGTCAAAGTTGATCTCCTCTAGGACTGACCGGTTTGATCGCCTTGCAGTCCAGGGGACTCGCAAGAGTCTTCTCCAGCACCATAGTTCAAAGGCCTCAATTCTTTGGCGCTCAGCCTTTTTTATGGTCCAACTTTCACAGCCATACATTGCAACTGGGAAAACCATGGCCTTGACTATACGTACTTTTGTTGGCAGGGTGATGTCTCTGCTTTTTAGTATGCTGTCTAGATTTGCCATAGCTTTCCTCCCAAGGAGCAAGCGTCTTTTAATTTCTTGGCTGCAGTCCCCATCTGTGGTGATCTTGGAGTCCAGGAAGGTAAAATCTGTCACTGCCTCCATTTCTTCCCCATCTATTTTCCAGGAATTGATAGGGCTGGATGCCATGATGTTGGTTTTCTTAATGAGTCACTTAACTGCAAGGGTTCGCTTAACAACCAGGACAAAAAAGGTGAAGAAAATTGGGCGTGACTCAACAACACTGGTCTCAATTCTAGTTGGGGGGGAATATGCTGGATATCCTGTGTCCTGTGCAGAAGTCAAATGTGTCAAATGGCATCTTCACAAAGTAATGCCCTCAATTTTGTGATGTGTGCAACTAGTCTCAGAATGAATTTCAAGGCATCATTTACCATTCATATGATTCTCTGAACCTCTTTCTGGCATATCTACAATGGGCTTTACCCTAACCAGGTCTGGTTTAATGCTTTTTTTGTTAGTATTTCTCCCAGGTACTATATATTTAATGTTAAAACAAGATTTGCTTTTGTTCAATTGGTACATGGGGACGTAATCTTTTCCAATGCCAGAGCCGGGGTGGCACAGTGGTTAGAATGCAGTGTTGCAGGCTGACTCTGCCCACTGCCAGGAGTTTAATCCTGACCAGCTCAAGGTTGACTCAGCCTTCCACCCTTCTGAGGTCGATAAAACGAGGACCCAGATTGGGGGGGGGAATATGCTGACTCTGTAACCGCTTAGAGAGGGCTGTAAAGCACTGTGAAACAGTATATAAGCCTAAGTGCTAGTGCTAAACAATGATCATGTTCTTTCTCTGTGACACCCCATGCAAATGTTCATGTACCCCATGTATTTCCACCAGTTATTGCATAATATAATATAACATTTCAGAAGCAAAATGCAGCCCAAAGAGCATGCAATCTATATTAACCATGTGATGTATTAAACATGTTTCAATAATACGTGCGAAAACTCTGGTGCATCAAGCTTGGAAAATATCTTCATGTCTATCACCTTTTTCTTGGAATGTCATAATGGTGCCTTTCAATTTATTTAATTCTTTGAGGTCCTAGCAAATGATTAGCCTTTCCTCTTTCTGTTGAACTATAACCACGGAATGAACCCATTCAGTTGCATCTTGGTGCACTAAATAATTCCTATTTCCATTTTAACCAGTTCAGCTTTCAGTTTTGTTCTCAGTATTACAAGTTCTGTGTCTATATTAAGAATATTCTGATGAGTTGTTGGAAGACACCCAGTACTTAGAATCACAGAATCAGATATGTAAGGAACTATAAGGATCCAAATGTTGCAATGGACAGGAAGACCAATTAAACCATGCTCAACCACGTCCAGTCTCTTTTTGTCAGTGCTTTAAAGTAGTAATTCTACTTTACTATTAACAGGTATAATCAGTGCTTTTTTTCTAAAAAAAAAAAAAAGGTGCCAGAACTCACACACATCATACAACCCGCCTTGCCTATCCTACAAGGTTCCATCCAAAAAAGGTGCCGGAACTCCGGTCTGGGCGTTCTATGAGAAAAAAAGCCCTGGGTATAATAACAGAATCTTGGTAGTCTTGCAAAAATCTTTTTTCCCTCTTGTAATGTAAATCAAGTGGGGCAGTCTTGAGTTTCTTCTAGAAATCGAGAAACTTGAATTAATATCAGTTTCTCAAAACACTTCAGATCTACCCAACTGAATGTATCTGTGCCCCCTTTATAGCACAGTATTCACTGTCTGCAGACCTTTAAAAATAATATTCTGGGTTTGGGCAAAGTGCTTTTTGGTCTTCAAAGGCATATCATTTGATTAGGAAATGTTCTGGATATAGAAAGAAAGAAAGGAAGGAAGGAAGGAAGGAAGGAAGGAAGGAAGGAAGGAAGGAAGGAAGGAAGGAAGAAAAAACCCTACCCTTTTCTAACGTTGGAGATTTTGCATCCTCACTCAGCCTTCCCCATCATCCCACAGGCAGTCAAGTTCAACCTGTTGTATGCAGGAATCAAGCTGACAGCTCCACGGTGCTTAATCATTTCTGCAACCCTGAAACCAAGCTACCAGAGAAGCCGCGGTCATGTAACACTGAGCCGTGCCCGCCAACGTGAGTTTAATTCTTTCCCGAATTTGGAGGGCTGCATCTAAAGGGGGACGTGCAGGAGCTCTTGCCAAAAGGGACTGATGATTAAGGGTGGGTGCTGTATCGCAGGGGTCCTCAACCTTGGCAACTTTAAGACTTGTGGACTTTGCTGGCTGAGGAATTCTGGGAGTTGAAGTCCACAAGTCTTAAAGTTGCCAAGGTTGAGGACCCCTGCTGTACAGGACAAAGCAGCAAGGGGAGGAGAATCTAACAAAATGAAATTCAATGGTGAAAAAAGTAAGGTTCTACATTTAGGCAAGAAAAAACAAATGATGTCCATATCATATCCCCCATGGAACGAGTTATCATCATTGACACTCTCCCTGGAGCCTCAGGATCACCTGTTAGTGAATTTATACTCGGTCGTCACACGACGTCGACGGTTTTTCCGGTTGTGTCACGACCCGACGTAATTGTCTCCCTATCTTAGTTCTAGTGCACTTCATAATTATGGTGAAATGTTACCCTTGGCAAGGCCACACTTGGAACACTGCATCCAGTTTTGGTCACCACGATGTAAAAAAGATGTTGAGACTCTAGAAAGAGTACAGAGAAGAGCAACAAAGATGATCAGGGGACTGGAGGCTAAAGCATATAAGGAACGGTTGCTGGAATTGGGTATGTCTAGTTTAACGAAGAGAAGGACGAGGGGGGACATGATAGCAATCTTCCAAGATCTCAGGGACTGCCACAAAGAAGAGGCAGTCAAGCTATTCTCCAAAGCACCTGAAGGCAGGACAAGAAGCAACGGGTGGAAACTAATCAAGGAGAGAAGCAACCTAGAACTAAGGAGAAATTTCCTTACAGTTAGAACAATTAACCAGTGGAACAACCTGCCTCCAGAAACTGTGAATGCTCCATCACTGGAAGTTTTTAAGAAGAGACTGAACACCCATTTGTCTGAAATGGTATAGGGTTTCCTGCCTGAGCAGGGACTAGATGACCTCCAAGGTTCCTTCCAACTTTTTTATTATTATTATTATTATTATTATTATTATTATTATTATTATTATTATTATTATTATTATTATTATTATTATTATTATTATTATTATTATTATTATTATACATTTTTGGAGTGCTCATCCCACACTATCACCCATTACATTATCTAAAAGTGCAATGAGTTTCAAATATAGACAGGGTTAATTTTAACGAAGCCTTTATTTTGCTTTCTGTTTCCCATCTCAACTAGTTGGATGATCGGGAACTGGTCCGAATGCAGTCGCAGCTGCAATCAGGGAGTGCGGACCCGAAGCGTGATCTGTCAGCGCAAAATCTCCACCACAGAGGAGAAAACTCTGGATGATTCCTCTTGCAACCTGCCACGGCCTCATGTGCTGGAACCCTGTAATAATCACACATGTCCTCCAGAATGGGTAGCCCTGGATTGGTCTGAGGTAATGACCTTCTCTTTCTCAGCCTGGCATCTTCCAATTTTATTGGTTCATTCATTCAGTCATCAGTCAGTCAATTTGTCAATCAGTCTAGTTCAGTGGTGGCGAACCTATGGCACGCGTACCAGAGGGGGCACTCGGAGCCCTCTCTGTGGGCATGCGCGACTCGCTCTTTGGCTAAGTTTTCGCAGGAAAAAAGCCATTTCTCAAGCCCCTTCCTAGCCAAAACGAGCCTCCGGAGTGAGCGCGCTGTTTTCAGCTTTGAATTATATCAAATCTGACACCAGAAACAGACTAACAGATGACCCGAGTGCTGCATGTGTTGCTCTCAAACTTACAAAGTATAAGCCAAGGTTATACAAATTATCAGCATGCATACAACAGCAAAAATCACATTAATTGTTCAAAAGCATGCCAAATGCAAACTTTTACCTTTCAGTAAAAGGCTGTTTGTATCATTGAAAGCTCTGTTATTGTGTTTTTCTTTTAAGACAAAAGATGTTAATGTATGAGTTGTTTTTTCTAAACTAAACCTCAGTATTTAGATTAAATTGCCCTGTTGGCACTTTGCGATAAATAAGTGGGTTTTGGGTTGCAGTTTGGGCACTCGGTCTCTAAGAGGTTCGCCGTCACTGGTCTAGTTTTTCTCTACATTTCTGCTCAACAGACAGCTTACAGAAATAAAAAGGTAGAAGAGAAAAGAGAAAAACTGAATGCTATCAATACTAAGGGAAGTAACAAAAGCCTGGAATAACGGCTGCATCTTCACAAATACCCAACAGGCAGCAAGTGTAGGGAGTTACATTCAGGTAGTCCTTGACTTACAACCATTTGTTTATGACCGTTCAAAGTTACAACAGCACTGAAAAAAGAAACGGATGACCAGTTTTCACACTAATGAGGGTTACAGCATCCCCGTGGTCACGTGCCCAAAATTTGGTTGCTTGGCAACGGGTATGTATTTATGACAATTGCAATGTCACGGGGATCACGTGATCACCATTGGTAACCTTCCCAGCTGGCTTCTGACAAGCAAAGTCAAAGGAGGAAGCCAGATTTGCTTAACAACCAAATGATTCACTTAATAACTGCAGTGATTCGCCTAACACAGGGTGGGCAACCTTGGCTCTTTTATGACTCATGGACTTCAACTCCCAGAATTCCTGAGCCAGCATGGCTCAGCTTGGAAACCTCCCTTTCCCCTCAGCATGGCTGGCTCAGGAATTCTGGGAGCTGAAGTCCACAAGTCATAAAAGAGCCAAGGTTGCCTACCCATGGCCTAACAACTATGGCAAAAAAGGGTGTAAAAGTAGGCACGACTCACTTAACAACTGTCTTGCTTAGCAACAGAAATTTGGGGCTCAATTGTCATAAGTCAAGGACTACCTGACTTTTCCTAAGGGAATGTTACACAGTTTGGGAGCAGTGCAGAATCCTCTCCCATGTGGGCCAGAAAGAGGGTTCCCAGAGAGCAGAAAAGCCTCTTCAAATCTTAACAGTTGAGCAGGTTCATGACAAGAGAATTCTGTCGCTTGGATAGTCACTCCTAAGCACTTTAGGACTTTAAAGGTCGACAGATCATGCCAGACAAATCTTATTGTATTCTTTGACCAGGTGACAAAATTAGTGGACCAGAGGCATTTGATAAAATAGACCACAACCTACTACTTTATAAGATAGAAAAATGTGGATTAGACAGCATCACCACCAGATGGATTTGTAGCTGGCTGACTGGCCGTACTCAGCGTGTGGTCCTCAATGGAACTGCATCTACATGGAGGGAAATGTGTAGTGGGGTGGCCCAGGGCTCTGTTCTGGGCCCAGTGCTCTTCAACATCTTCATCAGTGATCTGGATGAGGGGATAGATGGGGAACTCATCAAATTTGCAGATGACACCAAGCTGGCAGGAATAGCCAACACTCCAGAAGACAGGCTTAAGATACAGAAGGATCTTGACAGACTTGGGCGCTATCTAACAAAATGAAATTCAATAGTATAAAACAGATGTTGAGACTCTAAAAAGAGTACAGAGAAGAGCAACAAAGATGATTAGGGGACTGGAGGCTAAAACATATATCCTTGCCAACGACCTTAACCCATACAGATCAAATTACTTCTCTTCCTGCTCCCCCCTGTACTATCGTCACAAGGTTATAGAGTCCCCGACGGTGTTTCTTCTCCCTCAGTTCGATAAGAGGTTTCGCGGACTTCCGTCCTGAAGAAGCAACGGATGGAAACTAATCAAGGAGAGAAGCAACCTAGAACTAAGGAGAAATTTCTTGACAGTTAGAACAACTAACCAGTGGAACAACCTGCCTCCAGAAGCTGTGAATGCTCCATCACTGAAAGTTTTTAAGAAGAGACTGGACAGCCATTTGTCTGAAATGGTATAGGGTTTCCTTCCTGAGCAAGGGGTTAGACTAGATGACCTCCAAGGTCCCTTCCAACTTTATTATTATTATTGTTGTTGTTATTCCCTTCAGTTGTGCCCCCTAATTGGCAACCAGGAGAGAATTTTAGTACAGGCAATCCTCGACTTACAACCACAATTGGAACCAGAATCTCCAGTGCTAGGCAAGGCAGTTGTTAAGTGGGTCGTGCCTGATTTTACAACCTTTTTTTTGCCAAGGTTCTACAGTGAATCACTGCAGCTGTTAAATGAACCCAGTATCCCCCACTGATTTTGCTTTTCAGAAGCCGACTGGAAAAGTTGCAAATGGTGATCACATGACCCTGGAATACACAACTGTTGTAAAATTACGTTGGTTGCCAAGTGCCCAATTTTTGATCATGTGACCATGGGGATGCAACGGTGGTCATTAATGCAGAGACTGATCATAAGTCACTTTTTTTCAGTGCTGTTGTAACTGCAGGTGATTGGTAAATAAATGGTTGTAAGTCAAGGGCTACTTGTACCAGGCATTCTAATAGATCTGTACCTTATAGTAGCTAACTGTCCCATGTTTCTTAACCTTAGAGCCTTTAAGATGTGCGGAGCAACTCATTCCTTCAGTCAGCCTACTTAAAACTGCTAAGACTGAAAAACACTGGTCTCGTTTGTGCACTTACAGTTCCTGGACATATTTCAAGGGCAGTTCTATCTTGCACACTACACTAGTTAGGATGAGAAGAAGCTAGGCTACTGAGATCTGATCATCTCAGGAGTAGCTTGCCGCTATGGCTCACAATAATTATTTAAGCAAAATGGCACACACCATGGTTACCATCCATAACTCCAGTAATAGCTAAGGTGCTTTGGATTGAAGTAGATGCTGTACATAAGACAATGGTTCTCAACCTGCGGTCCACGGTTGGAGGGGGGGCAATGTCATCACAGAAGGTCCACGAAGTCTTGAAGAAATGTTATGATTTAAATGTTAAGTCTTGGGGGTCTGTGGACATGGTCCGTGGCCACAAAAGGTATTTAAATAGGGTCTGTGGTAAAGAAAAGGTTGAGAACCACTGACGTAAGATATTTGACCAAAATTGTGTTGACCCTTGTTCAAGTCCATAAAGTTCTTCGGATGACTTTGGGGCAACCATTCTGTCTCCCAGCCCAAATTATCTCAGAGGGTTGTTGGGAAGAGGAGGAGGGAGAAATTGTACATTACTTTGAAGTCTTGGAAGACATATACAAGCTATAAATCTAATGAATAAACAACAAATAACTTCTAGAAAGCCTCTGAGTTGTCCTCAAGTGCCATTGTGTATTAGATGTTAGGTTCATGTCCACCACTGTTTGTGTTATAAAATAATTTTGCTGGCTCCAGTGGGAAACAAACAATGTGTTAGATTCCCCTTTCTGCCAAACTTGATGTAAAATCACAACATCCACACCCAAGACGATTTAAGTGATTTATTTTCCACTACTCCCGAGGTTGTAAAACAGCAGGGGAAATGCAATAAATCACAACCAATAAATGAATTTCAACTTTTTCCTTCCTTGTAGTGCACGCCGAATTGTGGACCTGGTTTCCGTCATCGCATTGTCCTTTGCAAAAGTGGTGACCATCGTGCCACACTGTCTACCTCCCAGTGTCCTGAGAGCTCTAGACCCCCAAACACCATAAGGTGTAGTCTTCGGCGCTGTCCACCCCCGCGGTGGGTCACTGGTGAATGGGGAGAGGTACACAAAGTTTATTTTTCTCCTACAGTTTTAAACCATGAGTGATTAGTCAATCATTGTTCAAGAGGCATGTCTATGGAGCTTCTCAGTCATCCAGGTCATCATTGTCCCAAAGGTGCTTTTTCACAACTGGGCTTTCTTTTTTCTCTTTGAAGACGTTTCGCTTCTCATCCAAGAAGCTTCTTCAGCTCTGACTGGATGGTGGGGAATGGAAAGATTTATACTCCTGTGTTGTATCTCCAGTCTACAACACAGTCCTTTCAACAGTTCCAAGAAGGCTCCACACCCATTTGCACCACTCAGGTGACCCCAACGACACAGATAAGCCTCCAAGTGGCCTCAACGACTCTTTAATGGAATGCAAATGACCAGCTGTCTGCAAGGAGTATAAATCCTTCCATTCCCACCATCCAGTCAGAGCTGAAGAAGCTTCTTGGATGAGAAGCAAAACGTCTTCAAAGAGAAAAAAGAAAGTCCTGTTGCCTTGTGGAAAAGCACCTTTGGAACGTTCAAGAGGCATAGTACTGCATGCTGGGGACTCTGAATCCAAGACAGAAAGCCGTAAGAAGAAGCTATCAAAAGCTGATCTGCCACACTGATTAGTTTTAAGATAAGATGATCTCCTTTGAGGTCCATTTTTTGTCAAACGTAACTGAAGAAGAGTTATGTTTTCAAGAAAACAAGTCAAAGCAAGTTCACCAAATCAGCCTTTTATGCATTCAGAGATTAACCATGTTTGAATCGGAAGGGGTAAGGAGAAGGAGGGGGATGAAATTGTTAAAGACTCAGCTGATCTAAAGCTGACCTGCCATACTGATTGATTTTAATCTAAGGTGAAATCCTTTGAGATCCATTTTTTTTTCAAAAGTAACTGAATTAGCTCAGAACTAATCCTTCCATTTCCCCACCACCTCCATCCAGTCAGAACTGATGAAGCTTCTTGGATGAGAAGCAAAAGGTCTTTTTCCTCAAGGAAATAACCTAGTCCAGTTGCCTTTTGAAAAAAAAAAAAAAGCACCTTTGAGACAACCATGACCTGGATGACTGAGCATCTCCACAGAGACACACTTGCAACGTTGTGAAGGTTGAGAAACGTGCAGCAAAAGGCTGTGCTTCAAACTCATGTTAATAGATCTGTTATTTTGCTTTAGCCCAATTTCTGCATCTACCTGACTCTTTCCTGCAGTGTTCTGGGCAGTGCAGTTTTGGCCAGCAAAGGCGTTCTGTCCAGTGCGTGACCTACACAGGACAACCATCCAGTGAATGTGTGGAAGCCCTGAAGCCCTCAGCCATGCAACAGTGTGAAAGCAAGTGTGATTCTGGACTGACAGAAAACTCTGAAGGTACCCTATATGTCATGGAATGATCTGCAAGCTGAGCAAAGAACTTACCCTTTGAAATGGCTGAATGACTCAAGTCTGTGGTTCGGATTCTGGACTGCAATGTGGCTCAGAGGCCTGAAACCATAGACTGCCAAATGTGGATTTGGCCTGGGGAACTTTTGGCGAAGGGAACGCGCAGTGGGAGATCTGCCAAGCAGTTCCCAAAAATCCAGCCATGTTGACTTTTTTTTTTTTTACCACAGAGCATTACAGTGACATGAAGGCTTTTTTTGCATACCAAAAGCTACATGTTAATTTAGAGGTGTCCAACCTTGGCAACTTTTAAGACATGTGGACTTCAACTCCCAGAATTCCCTAGCCAGCATGGATTCTGGGAGTTTAAGTTTACACATCTTAAAGCTGCCAAGGTTAGATACCCCTGATTTAGTTGTTGGGTTCCCCCCCCCCCCAGGATTTAAGGGCTGCAGGAATGGAGGGTGAGTCTGTGTGTGTGTTTTGTGTGTGTGTGTGTGTGTGTGTGTGTGTGTGTGTGTATGTGTGACATGATGATATCATCAGACAAAGGAGAGTTAGAATATTTGGCCTTTTTTCATTTTCTGAGGCACAGAGTTTCAAGTAATATAAGTAGCATCATATAAGTAGCACCCGAAGCATCTAAAAGCCAGTAATAAAAGGGCATTGGAGGACCATATCTGAACTTTGCCCTTATGGTTCGGTCACCAAGCTGTGGTTAAACTATACTCAAGTTTAGCATGTTATATGGACAAATGATTAGTTTTGTGGAGTTCTTGATGCTGTTAAAGCTTGGTTGTTTACTTGCAGGCATTTCATTACCCATCTAGGTAACATCATCAGTGTGAGGAATTGTGGAGTTTGTGCCTCTTTATATATTGCAGCTTGCCCTGCAGTTTTGTTAGGGTGTGGTTTCCTCCTTGGTGGTTCCTTGATTAAAATATCATCTTCTGGCTTATTGTTTATCTGGTGTTAATCCCTGCGTATCTGTACGTTGACTGCTGGAGGAAATGTGTTCTGATCTTTTTGTTTCCTTCCTAGACTTTTTAGTATCTCTTTTGAATGGTGTGTAAACGTGGTGTATCTCTGTAAGATAAAAGAGTAGAACATCAGACAAACAATCAGGCAGAAAACAATACCCTAAACAAGGAACCACCAAGGAGGAAACCACACCCCACCACAACCGGCAGAGCAGGCAACTACAGTGGTGCTTAAAAGTTTGTGAAATTGTGTGAATTTTCAAAGTTTCTGCCTAAATATTAATTAAAATGTATTCTTTTCTACCCAAGTACTAAAACTAGATAAAAGAACCCAATTAAACAAGTTAGAAACATTATACTTGCTCATTTATTGAGGAAAATTATCCAACTACATATATAAAGAGACAGCAGTTCCCACTCTCACTCACACTGATGAAATCATCTTGTTGGGTAATAAAATGTCTGCAACCAAACAACCACAGAAAGCAGCAAGGACTCCACAGTTCAGCCCCATTCTACATGGTGAAAAAAGTAAGGTTCTACATTTAGGCAAGAAAAACCAAATGTACAGGTATAGTATAGGGGGTACCTTGCTCAATAGTAGTAACTGTGAGAGGGATCTCGGAGTCCTAGTGGACAATCACTTAAATATGAGCCAGCAGTGTGCTGCAGCTGCCAAAAAAGCCAACACAGTGCTGGGCTGCATTAACAGAGGGAT